TTTCAAAATTAAATAATATAATAAAAAATGTTGTCTATTTATTTTATGTAAATTTCTTTTCATAACGTCTGATAAGTTTAATAACATCATCATTAAACGAAGAAAGAAAATTTAAACAATAATTTACATAAAATAAATAGACAACTCTTGTCTATATTATTTAAAATGAAAGGATGTATGAATGAAAAAATGTTGCCTAAATACACACAATATATATATATATATATATATATATATATATATATATATATATATATATATATATATATATATAATTTTGAAAATTTCACTGTTTTCTTATTAGAATTTTCTGATGAATCTTAATGCTTAAGTTAATGATTCAGTAAACTCATGTCGAGTTCTACTACAATGAAATATCCGTCGAAATTCGCTACTGCGTCGTTAAATATTTGAGGTTAACGGCTTTATCTATTGTATTAACAATCATAAATATGAATCCTGGTCGTTACTTTAAGAAATAAGGATGTTAAAATGAAAATATATGATATTGACATGAGAGCGTTATCGCTTGTTCTATCTTCTTTCATTCATTTTCTCATTGAAACCAAGTAGCGTCTCTGATATACCTTTTCCGTCTTTCCACACGATCAAAACGGAATAGTTCATTATTTATAAGGTATTAACAGGAGATGTTAAACACCTTCATCTTCTCTTTTCTTTTTTTTCCTTTTCACACTCAAATTAAGTAGCGTCTTTGATATGTCTTTTCCGTCTTTCCACGCGATCAAAACGGAATAGTCCATTATTCATGGGGTATTGACAGGGCGTAACGTACATGATAACTAAGGGAAAGACAAGCAGAATTATAACAAGATGTATAAGAAAAGCAACAGAACGAAAAAGAGAGCTAGAGAGAGGGGGGGAAGAGAGAAATAAAGATCTTTTTGGTTCAATGGGATCAATAGGAACACTCTATAGATATTGACATAAAATCAAATCAGTTAATCCTCTCTTTAAATCTGTCTTCATCACTGAACATAAATTTGGAATCGACGAAAAAAGTAATTTTTCGTCGATTCCAAATCTTGGCTTGATGGCTTTTGATGAGGATTTAAATAATCAATTGTAAGCTATAGTCAGTCATCGACGCACAAATAAATGAATAAAATTACTTCTGTTAATTAAAAGCGGAACATACGATTAGTTCTTTTGTGTAACAAGATCGAATGGATCAACGGACATTTTTTTTATAAAACTTGTTTTATGCATTCACGCAGAGATATATATTAGATTAGGCTGTTCGTCAAATAAAGTCTGATTTTAGAAACAACTTTAATTACTGAATTAATGCATTTAAACAGAGTTTAAATCAGCCAAAATAGGAAACCTGAACGTCTATACATTTCTCTCATCGAGTTACCATATTCAAAAAGGTATAACTATACCTTTACTATAAAACTCTAAAGGTTCGAATGCTAAGAAAGTTTTGAATGCATTTTCTGAGTCTTCCTTGAAACGGGATGTCGTTTGGCTTAAAAAGATTGTCAATATGCTTGAAAATGAGGCAGTCAGCAGGCTAGAGATCAAGGAGATATGGTGGATGTGGCAGAGTCTCGTATTCCATTTGGTGAGCTTCTGAAGTGCCATTCTTCAAACATGTGACCAATCATTGTGTTATGGTCCGGTTCCTTGTACTACGGTGATAGTCCAAGGTAGAACCAATAAAGAAGAACTCGAACACGGATATGGAATAACACAGATATATTACAAACAGGAATATATACAGAGAAGTAGAAAGTGTTAGTACGAACAACCAGGTTTAGTAGTAATTGTCTGAACACGACTCTGTTTCGGACTGCCTCTGACTCGACTGACTGACTCGCTCTGACTGACTGACAGTCTCCTGGCGGACTTCACTCCAGACTGAACTCTAGACTTCAGACGGAACTATTTAGTCATCCCCCCCCCGAGGGCGTCATGTGGCACAAGGCCGGTTTAACGTGGGATCTCAGGGCCCGTGGGCTCGTCCAAAAATATGCCCTTTGAACCCGTATAAACGGGTTCAGGGTCGGTTTACCTCCCCGAAAGAGACTCCGCCCTTCGGCGTAGCTTCGTTCGGGTTTCTCCCCGCCCGAAGGCAGAGAGTTCAACCGATCAGCCGGTCAGCCGGTCGCCCGACTTCATGCTGAACTCCCTGCTTCCTCTTGAGGCGCAGTATTTATTACGTATGGCATAGTCCATTATGTAATTATGTGTAAGGTCCCATAACACATTGTCATGAAACAGAAATGGATCGTGTCGATTTATCAGTACCGGCCGGTTTAAATGAATGTGCATTCTTTCCGGTTGCGGGCAGTTAACTCTAGCAGTGATGTTCTGGTTAGATTCCAAAAAACTGTAATAGATATCGCCAGTGGCGAACCCACCGAATGGTCACCATAATTTTCTGTTGGTGCCATTTCAGTTTGGTAAGTGTTTGGATGTTTCGTCATCATCAAGCTATTGATTCGATCATTTACGAATGTCATAAACAATCCAATTCTCATCACAAGTCACTATTCGCCCAAGAAATGGATCATTCGAATTTGGCAAGTGCAGCATCTGTCGTATAGACCCCTCGATCTGGAGATGGTCTTGGGCGACGATGTTGATTCACTCATATGTTGTATTTTCTCTCCCCCGTCTTCGCTCGGTCGGTAATCGCTAGTTGTTTTTGCTTCGGAGATAAAAGAATTTCAACAAAGGGATTTTTACACTTAATTCTTTTATTTACGCTGACGTTTACATCTCTAACTCGCCAGTGGGGTCGCTCTCTCATCCCAACTGGGAAGCTGCTTCCCAGACACGAAGGAAACGCGTCTACATTGTATGACGGTTAAGACTCAGCACTCCGAAAAGCCTATCATTTCCACGCTAGTTCAGCCAATCAAAATCGACTTCCTTTATTTTGTCTTGCATCTGACATCAAAGGTCAAACTGAGGAAGTCATAGCAGAAATACACTTGTCTAAAAATAATAATCTGCTAAATTATTATTTAACACATCGAATATATTTCAAAACGTCGAAATCTTTGACTTTTCACTGAGTTCATGATTCTTCAGTTTACCAAATCGTGAGATGGTTCGATATTTTTATAAAGCTGACATTCATTATCTGAGATATTTTTATGACTCTATTCAAATAATGTTTTCAGATGTTGATTGTCAATTGCAGATGGACGCCTCTACCACTTTAATCTTCAAGACTCGTATCCCCTCTGCGGAACTTCAGAAACCAACTCCTTATGACCGATCAGAAATGGACCCTTCCTCCCATACTCTATTAATGTTGACAGCAGTTTGTGAAGCATTATGACCAAGTTTGCAACTCATGCAAAAAAAAGAAAAAAGAAAAGTAAACGCATCTCTTTCTTTTCATGTTCAAGATGAGGGATATATAATGCTTTAAGTTATATTCTGAAAGACACTTATATAAAATTAACAAAGATGACACTTTAATATTTAAGAATGAGTAATATATTTTTGTTCAACTAGTATAATATTATATCAGAAAACAATTAGAAGGTTTATTCTAAAATAGGATATTAAATTAAAAATAAAGATACAATTGTCTAAGAGCGAATCATGTCAAAAACAACAACAACAACAAAAATCCATATAATTCGAGGATCAGACATTCGCTCCCAAATACGACACTTATACAGTGTGGAGTAGGATCTGGCATATATCCTGATGTCTGCGGTCAAAACCCGAATTCCCCAGACATTTTTGATAACTATCCGATAAAAACAAGATGTTCCATATGTTTATTGTTCACGGATGCAAAATAAATATTTTGATCCGGCCTAACGTTCATCATCGCGGAAAACGGATGAAAAGAGTTCGAATTCCGGTTAAGACAGTTAAAATTAATATCCACAGGCTCCACACACCGATTGTAGAAAAAATAAGGAGTGACCGATGGAGTCGATGAAGACATCTTTTCTATTATTGTCCTAAGAGCGTAGGGATTCGGTACAAAATATTAATTCGTTACAATTAATCTGTATTTAGTGATTGAATGACAATAAAAAAAGGAAAATCGTTGTAATTAATGAATTGTATTTTTTATCGTATTTTTTTTTTGTCGAGAACGTTTTCTTCTCAGTCTCCTCTCCACCGACATATTTATTCAATTTTACAATTTTATAAGAATCATTGTTTTATTTATTTATTTAAACATGCCTCCATAATAAAATTTTTTTGACAATGTTCGACAACAGCTACACATACACAATTCATTTGTTTTTGAAGTGCTGATCTCAGTCAATAACTAATTAATTAGAAACATATAAAAGACAACATTAATCTAGGATCAAATGTTCACCTTATTATCTGGGAATATTACCTCCATCATTCTTATATATATATATATATATATATATATATATATATATATATATATATATATATAATTTATGTATGTGTGTGTATATATATATATATATATATATATATATATATATATATATATATATATATATATATATATAATTTCTGTAATATAAATATCCATTCAAAACAGTAGATTTGTTTTTGTTCATCTAATGAACACAGGTGACAGGAACAATTGTTTTCATGATAAAAAAGTCAAAACACAACTCTAGAACAGTAACTTGTTTCTATGGTTAAATTATTATTCAATTTTTACCCCAACAAAAGAAGCTAAATTTCTGCTGAAAACATCCTTTGCCCATATTTAAAACAGACTGAAATTCTAGCAGTTCTATCATTATTTTCCTTTCTTTACCTGATCACTGGACTTTTACGCTTAATATTTAAGATTTTATTTTCCCTTACATCGAGATTTATCGACTACAGACATTAGAGGAACAATACAAATCCGAAACATTTAAATCAACCACCATCAAAAATCTAAAAAATGTTTGATACGCTGGACAACAGACCCGACATTGTGATTCCGTCAAGTTGTCTCTTGCTAATCGGTACAGATTGAAAACATACTGTCACTCGTCGTCTTGTGTCGCAAACAACTACGAATGAAAAATATTGGCCTCTACCTGATTGCACTCTGCGTTAGTGATCTGTTTGTTCTTTACGTTAGTCTATTCAATGCCTTCTTATCTGGTGCCGGCATTTATGGTGACAATAATAACAGATTCAATTGTCACATTTTTAGATTTTTCAGGGCATTTTTCTTGGACTGCTCGTCGTGGATCACAGTTGTCATTACCGTCCAACGGACAATAGCCGTTTATCGGCCACTGTCCACTTACCTCAGATCCAGCAGCAACCGCACAACTCCGGTTAAGGTATTGTGTATTCTTTTCGTCGTAATGGTCATCATAAGTGCTGTTTATACCAATTCCTTCAGGTATGAGAACTTTACATGTAAAAGTCCACACAAGGCTGTTCAACTTTTATTGTTTTCTTCCGTCTACAGCTTTCTTCCTGCCATTATCTTAATTGTTTGCAACGTGGCGATTGTTTTTAAGATCTACCATCGCCCAGCCGTCGGACAGACTCCACACCCAGCACACAACAACGCCCAAACTGTTCGACTCGTTTTGGCTATTAATATCATGTTTCTTATCTTTACGTTACCCCCGACTTTGCTATTTACTTCTGCCGATTTCCTCAGTAATAATTCAGAAGAAACCATTCTTGTATTGGCAATTGTAATGAATACAAACAACGCTTTTAATTTTGTGTTGTATATGGTGGCAAGTCGATCATTCCAGAAAGAACTGAAATCTATATGCAGGTCAAAGAGAAAACAACAAATTTGGTCGCTAAACAACCATCTTGAGTTGCACGCTATTTCCAATTCTAACTCATAGATTTTGTTCTAAATATATTCTTGTACACCAAATACGAGTGCCGACACAGTTATTACCTTCAACCCCCCACCATGCTTATTTGATACAATACGCTTTTTTTTTTCTTTTTCGGGCAAGTCTCTCCACTGCAAGATTAATTTGTTCCGCAACGATTAAGGTGATAGAAAATATCCAGATGGAAAGTTTATTTAAAATGACACGCTTATTGAAAATTTCACATCGGCATGACTATTCCAGACAACACTTTTATTTAGTACAAAACGATATAACTTCAAAGACGAGTTCATCCAGTGCTATTTAATCCCATTTTATGCCCTGAGTTTATCGAACTCCCCCCCACATCCAATTATATTTCACTGTTATCAACTCCTTACCTGATCAATTTTTCCATGCAACGTTTCTTGTTAAAGTATATTTTTGTTTTATAAATTATGTAATATATATTTTTTTATTTCTTATTCAGATCTTTGTTATAAATATATGTAGATCAAGAGGGCACTTTGCCGTAGTGTAATGTTTTAGCAAAATTGTCTCACTAAATCAATTACGACTGAGTAGTGAGTTCTATCTTTACTGGCTGCTTCATACTTTTGATTTTGTACCACAACTATGCTTCACTTAGTAAATCGCTGTATCATCAAACTATAACAACATTCATACATATTGTCATCATGAATCATCACTGGTGGAAAGGTTGTTTTTAGAATGTTGAAATTTTAGATCTTTAATTTCTAGAATGATGAAATATCATCATCATCATCATAAATCATAACAGGCTGCGCAAATAATTTTCGAGATGTTGGAAATGAATTTTTCATGCAAACATGCAAATGCATGATGTTTGAAAAAGAAAAAAAATATTTAAAAAAAATCCAAATATAAAAATACTCACCTAGAAAAATAATTAAATCAATTAAAAACACTATACTCGTCTCCTGCCCCTAGCTATCGGTAAATAGCAGGACAGGCCGGGTTCTATAGCCTTGGATGGCAACTGGTCTACCGCAGAAAAAATGGCAACCTACTGCGGGAAAAATCTACCTCGTCAGTCATATATCGAAAGATATATGATCGCTTAAGCGTGTATTACGCATGGTACACGTAGTAGAAGACATACGACGTGGATTTTGTTTAAAAAGACCAATTAGGAAGAAATAATTAATTCTGGATGCGATATTCTTACAAAAATGTGTATAAAACACTGGAAATCCGGCCCCAAATGGGATACGCACAGATGTCACCAAGGTCCACGTCACCCTCGCTGATGATCTTCACGACCTCATTTACATCTACACGCAAAAAGTAACACCGCTGACTAACTACAAAGAGACCGCTTCAGACAACGGCGCCACAGTTCACAATAAGAAGTAAATTCTAACTATCTCTGGTATCCCTTTTACTATTACTGACTCTTTCACACAAACACACATATAACAACATTTCATTGCTTCTCACATACGTACACAAATACAATTTATACTATTTCAGAACTGTATTAACCAAAACAAAAAGACATCACTTTCTAATCTATAACCAGCTGCTTGTATTCTTGTCATAATATTAAATTAATGTTTATTTGTTGATACTACGTTGTCATTTTCTACTGGATTTTATTCTTCCAATGAAACTCGTGGCTATAATTAAAAGCAGTCCCGCAACAATATGCTATTGTAGCGAATCCCGACACTCCGAATTTTGACATTGAACGAAAAACCGAGCGGAAGGATTCCTAGACATTCTTGTCTAAGGACACTCGTCTAAAAATATATCTGTCTAAGAAATTTTCGTCTAGCGAATCATGGTATGTATAATGGTGGTTGTATTAATATACAAACAATGTATACAAATAAATGCTTATAAACCACATGTATCATCAGTTATTAATGTTGCTATAAGTGTCTTCACCATCCATTGACTCAAGATAACCACGAATGTTATGCGTCGTTTTCCTTTGTCACTCTTGCCTTCAATCTGTTCTGTGAGTATCAAATTATCCAAGTCCTCTTTCTTCACTATATGCCCTCGAAATTCCGACCCTGTTCCTGATGTTAAGTATCAGTGTTCTTTTTGCTTCCATTTTTACTAGAACTTCCTCGTTGCTCACATGTTTTATCCCTGGCATTCTCAGTATCCTTCTGTAAGTTACATATTGATTTGCGCCACACAGTATCACACATAACCTACACACATATTCCACACAAAAGTCACAGAAAATAGTCACAGAAAGAAAGTCACAGTTTATTTAAATACCATAAACAATTAAAGTAATAAAACAAAATATTTTAAATCAGTTATTAACTGGTAATATAGTGTTTATACTTTATAAGTTTTATTCGTATTTAGTCAGACCTTAAAGGGTACTCGGGAACATCAGCTGGGCAATATATATAAAATGGGCGATCTTTTGTATAAATGTAAGTCTTAAATAGACCTAATAATATCTTCTATCGAATTAATTACAATTTAATTAAAATTTATGAATTCCAATTCTTCAAAAATACAAGCTGTTTCTAACTTATGTATCCGGCTTTTCAGATTGTTGTTGATTTATAAAGTGTAAAGCTTTGAAAACAAGGAGTGACGGAAATTTCTGTTGATAAAAAGGCATTTCCTCTTGTGACGGTTACCCTGGCCCAGTGTCGATGATTGCATGCAAAGGTCCTTTCCCAACTCGCTTCCAATACCTGGTCACTAAAGCAACTGTACCGATCTCCGGTCTGTCTACCCACGCTGTGTTTAGATCTTAGACAGACGGGACCAGCAGGGATTGGGGGCCGATACAAGTTGAGTCCGACGGGGGTGGCAAAACACAAATAAAAAAAAAAAATAAACTCACGAGACAAAAAAATTGCTGATAAAAAAAAAGGGGTAACAACCTTTTATATCTTAATGTCCGTTACATAAAAACAAAATTGTTCTCAATTCCCGACCCGCTCTGTGGACTATGGCACCAAGCTTCTATCACACAACCTAAAGATTTCGAATTGCCTACTCTTTAGAATTGTGTATGTCGGAGTGTGGTTTGGTTCGACACTGGGGCTAATTTCTATCGATCATTCGCAGTTGATTCTTCTCTTCGACTTGAGTTGTATTTCTTCTTCTTCGTCGACTTAGGCTGGAAGTTCTCTTGTCTTCGACTTGGGCTGGAAGGATCTCTTGCCGCAACTCAGCCGCAACTCTCTCTGTCGTCCGTCGAGGTGATCTTCTCGCTGCCGTCCGGGGCTGAACTGCCTTTTGTCGATTGGGGCCCTTTTGTTTTATTGACGCCGCAGCAAACCGGGGTGGGTCTGTCGGCGTCAACTTTCTCGATAATTCCAAAAGTCGCATTATTTTTTGACTTCCCATTATCGCTATTGTTTCACCCCCTTCCCCCCTACTTCCTCCACAGTGCCTTTGGTGGGGAGCTGCACACCCATCTCTTTAGTCTCTCGTATGTCAGGTGACCGTTTTTCGACCAATGGTTCCTGATCGGGCATTTCTTTCTCTTCTTTTCTGCAGATCACGTGACCGTTTCCGACCAATTGTTATTGATCGAGCATCCTTTCTCCTCCTTTCGGGCGTGGTTACATCGTTCTTGTTTTAAAAAAAAAAATCCAATTTTGCCCTTTCTGCACGTACGAAAAATGACAATCTTGGCTTTTTCTCACCTGGGCTCTGTCAAACAGCCCGCCGCTAATTAGATGTGACTTCAGGGAAGAATATTGGCGCCATCTGTGAACTGAGACAATCGTCCCTTCACCTCCCGTTTTTGTCAGACCCGACAGTCAGAAAATCTTAATTATCTACATTGAAAATGTTCCCCACTTTATTATCGTAGGTTTCCAATTCTTAATAGGTCAGAATCTGTATATAGTTCCACCGGTCACTCCCCTCAACCCAAAAAACACTTTTTCTCTGATTAAGATTTCGTTCTCATTGTTCTTAAAATTTCCCTTTACTCCAAATTGATAATGAGTCTTTCTCACGCAAAAGTAGGTCAGATGATTTGACCGATATCTGGTTTTCATCAAGCGGCCCGTTTTGATATCATGTCTTTTCCTTTTTTTCTTCTTATTATTTCTAATTCTATTCTTCCAATTGTCTTTAAAAAATTCGGCCACACGCAGGCCAAGATATCTTTCTGACTCCTATCTCCACCATTGACTGGGTCATGATCATCCAACTTTTTTCTTTTCTTTTTTTTTTCTTCCTCTTTCTTCTTTTTTCTTTTCTTTCTTCTTCTTCTTTAGGATCGTCTAAGTACAATCTTAGTGAATTATTTTCAACTCAATTATTTTCCGTTTTAAAAAAAAATCAACAACCTGTTTAGTAAACCGAGTAAAAAAATTAAATCATATTTCTATGAATATTTCTAATAATGCAAGGTGCCACAATTCAATGCGATTTCTGTTCTATCAACTGAATGCCAGTCAACAAATGTAAGATATGGAGAATTAATCGAACAAAACGAAGATTAACTACATTTATTTATTTTATTTACTAATGTTCAACCAATACAATGCTAATGATTCACTCGATGTGTTTCTGAATGATAGGATGAGACGTCAAGATTTTGTGGGAAATGGAAGAATCATAGATAACGATTGACCTTTGACCAGAAAATTTTAAAATTGTACCTTTCAAGAATTAGTCACTCGAAGGACAATTCCACAAAGAAATGGGTTTTTTTTTTTTTTGAAATTATTGTCACGTAAAATATCTTCCTTTTTTTAATACTGCGGAAT